TTGATTATTATTAAGATTGAGACATTATACCATAAATTATTTAAATTAGTTTACTTTCAATACATAACAACAATACTAGTTTATGAGAATTAACGCGAATGAAAAATATTTAGAAGTTGTGAAAAAGTTATACAAGAATTGACCTTTTGGTTTTCGAACAAGATGTTCTGCTACGTGTTCTAAATTAAATCAAGGGCTTTAGATATTATTATTGAATATTGTTACTGAGAATTATTGATCTTCTTATAAGTAAAATAAAATGTTTATGCTATGCTTACATCTATATTCAATATATTAGCTATCACTGGAAGCGGAAAATATAATTGAATTTGAAATATTTCTATTACATATTAAACCACTTAAAAGGTCATACTAATGCGTAGGTATCCAGAAGAATAATATTATGAGAACATTTGGTCGTTATTTTGCTATCTTTGTGTTATTTTCTTTTTATATACAGTCCAGTATATATTTTTATAGTGAATTTCTATTATTGATTTTAATTTGTGAGCAAACTGATTTAGTGAGTGACTGTGGGAGTCATTCGAGTTTCTAAAAAAACTGTCGACTGTGATTTTGTTTTCTCAGCAACGATAAGGTTTTTAATTTGGTTGTTTGTCAGTCATATAAACCAATACGATGGAGCTTAAAAACGAAAAATTATTTATATACTATTACAATATCTCAAAATTTCCACAAAGACAAGTTTATGCGTATAGAAGACGTTAGGTTAAAAATAATTTTAGGATATTCTTGCCTAAATTCCTTCGATTAGGAAAAGTCCTTCTGAAAATTATTTAACATAAGTCGAATGAAACGACCAGTTACAAACAAATATACTTAGGAAGTTTAAATTATGTTAAATTCTTGTAAATATTGTATGTTATTTTAACTTCGTTTGGAAACTTTGCAATTATTCAGTACTTTTCAATAAACAATATGATTCCCTTTAAATTACTATAATTAATTAAAACCGTACGCCTATAAGCATTTTTGTGAATGTTAACAGCAATCCTTTAAAATATACGACATATTGCTGGTGGTTGATGATTTTTAATTTAATGAACATTTCCATTAAGATATAGGGTCAGTTCGCCTGTTCGCGTTCATTGCCCAATTCGCGTCCATTTTACGGATCCCCCTTAAAAAATCCTCAAAAATAAGTAAAATAACACACCAATCAAACGAAAAGTAATAACCGCTAATACCTTAATGTATAAGGGGCACGAACACATGGACAAAAGGTCCGTGCGCCAAACAATCCCGTTTAGAAAAAATAGTTAGTCTCGGTAATTCATCAAGGGAGTGCGTATATGCGGGATGTTTAGATAAAAAATAGTGTGCAGCGGCGCGTTCGTTGGTAGGTTTTTTTATTATTTTATGTTAATTTTAGGATACATAGCTGTTTCTAGACTTTTATAGTGAAGAAAGGAATAATTTTAATTATAAAGGACAATGGGCAAAACACACCCAGCTCCGCCAACAATGTAATTGGTATGAATCGATAGATCCATGAAAAACTAGCCTTTTTTATTATGACACCGAAAAAACATATCCTGGTAGTCAAAACATATGACACATAAACATGGACATATTTAAGTAGCTAAATAAATTCATTTTATGGTACCTTCATTTTATATTATTAGTAACCATAATAATATGCCATAAATCGTACTATACAACCAGATGTACGACAAAGCCTGCCGCCAATCCTACGCTTGCACTTACTGATACACTTCAAAACAGTTTAGGGGGGTTGAAGCATTTGCAGTTGCAAATAGTCGAATCGTCTTACTTCGTTGTGATTATGCGCTCCCTGTCACTTGATTGATTTTTACCTAACACGCTTTGGACATTGGAACACGATTATCGGTTTTGTCACTTAGTATGGATGAACTGGAATCATGTTTTCCCCGAAACGTGGACAAGTTTGTGTGATTTGAGGTCGCTCCGTTTTACATAGAAGACAATTTACTATAAGGAACAGACAGTTTGAAAAAACCCCAACCCATGCGGGGATTTTTGGATTTACTCTAGCGCGGCAGAATAACATAAGGGGGCACCCTTGCATCTTGTGAAGAGCCTGAGCCCTCTATGTAGGGTCGAACTAACAAACTAAATTAATTCCCTTGATTCATTATGTGCGTTTGTTATAGTACTTGTACCTATTTAACTTTGAATAACTAAAGACTCCCGGGATGGAATTTGATGCGCTTTGGCACAGATGATCATGACTATAAAACCTTTCAAACAAATGTAGTTTAAGCCAGGGCGGACGTGGGTGCAGCGTCCATACCATATTACCCATTGTCCTTTGCATATGTTTTTTTATATTTAACGAATTATATAAGGTGGACGCGAATTACAACATCGAAATAACTTAACTTTCACTTTGCGTCCGCAATGGACGCAAACTATACCTACAGGGGATAATAATAAGCCAAATTGCATCGAGTATTTTCGTTAAATACAATGAATTCATTATAATTTAAAATATAGGTATTGATTATTATTATTATACATTTTTATTAAGACTACGTGTTTAAATGAAATTTCAATCAATCAATCAAATACTTTATTTGTTTCATTCTTATTTTTTTCTATTTAAGATGAGTTCTTCGGAGACAAGAAAGTAGAAGGAAAAAATAATATACACAGAAGACGATTTAAAGAAAGCATTAAATGAAATTCAAGAGAAGAATAAATCGGTTGACACATATGCAAAGAATATGCTATTCCCAAGACCACAATATTGTACAAAATCAGTGGGCGCAGGCCAGATAGAGTAAAGAAACCGGGACCAGAATGACCTGATGCTACCCGAAATTTCTAACAAAGCATGATAAGATAATCAAAGAACTCTAGCAGCCATATCTTCTGCTGCATGGAGTAAATATTATGAAGATAAAGAGCAGATCAAGAACGAAAAGCAGGAAGCAATACGAAAAAGAAAGTTAGAATGAATAGAGAAACAAGAACAGAAAAAGAGTTGAAACATTCTCAAACGCTTCGTTAACTGCTCCAAAACGAAAGAAGAAGATACATCCTCTTCAAGAAGTCACACAGGAAATGGTATGACGATATACTAATTTCAGATGTTGAAGACGACAATGAGAAAAAAAATAGGCTGTGAGAAGTGTATTAGATGGTATCATCTGAAATGCACGCGATTTGTAGGATTAAGTTATTAAGATACCAAAGATATGTCTTTTAAACAATTCTTCTAGTTTTATTGTTTTGTTTTTAGATTAGACAAAATTGTTGTGTATTGTTTTGTTGCTTTAATATAGATAAAAACTTATTGTTAATAATGGTGGATTTTTAGCAATAATAATATACCTTGTGATTTTAGGGTAAAATTAACAGAACTGATAACTGTTTATTCTTAAATTAGCAATAATTATTTACCTACTACTTATATAATTTTTAGTTCAATCAATGTTGAGAAGAATATTTTTTATTTAGTTAAAGTGTTTTTTTTTAATTATAATAATGTTGCTTTTTAATATTTATATTCTAAAATAAAGAAATTGCTAAAATAAAATCTTTCTTCAAAAATTCTTAGAAATATTACCCCTGTATTCCTTTTCTAAGATGGTGGATGCTAAATGGTCCACGGGTGAACGCAATTTGGATTTTGTGGACACAAAGTGGGTAAAACGCCTAATTCCGAAGTATATCTATTTAAAAAAAAAACAAGATGTTTCGAACAAAACTGAAAGTTAATCCTAAAATAGAATATATAATGAACACATTACATAAACTTTTCATAGAAATTAGTGCTGGGATATTTTTATTATCGGCGTTAAATTTCCAACTGCACTAAATGGACGCGAACAGGCGAACTGACCCTAATTGATCAAATGACAAATATTATGTTATGTGATGCACGAAATTTGTAATTTACAATGTGTTTTTACGTGACTATCGTCATTACTTACAAGTGCCACCTAGTACACAGGCTATTTAAAAATAGTATTTATTCTAGTAGGCGAGTACGAATTTGATCATCGATAGTGTTTTCAACATAAATGACAGTTTTTTGAACTACTTTTTCACGAAAATCTAAACTTTGGGAATAAAAATGCAGCACACAAACAAAATACAAGTAACATTACTAAACGTATCCTTCAATTTGCACTTTCAATGTGACATCTCTCTCATCTCTTTCTCAAGCGAGCAATATGAACCGGTGTCTACACATGTAAGTAAGCAGTTTTGAAACTGAACGCACGTAATATATGTGAGAAGTGTCGAAAGTACTACTTATGTATGTACATGAGATGGGTATTGAACCTACATTGACGAATGCGGTGTGATTGGTATGCGCGAGTCGGCGCGAGCGCGGGCGCGGGTTTCGCGAGTCGGCGCGGATCGCTCACTGCGCTCGGGCTGCGCCGGCAGCTCCCGCCAAAATTAACACACGCACGCATTATTATTTATTGCCACATTTTCGTCTAGATTGTACAGACAGATACCAATTGAATGTGAGACTGGATTTTTTTTGGCAAAACATCGCACCTCTCAATTGTTTCAGTACGTACTTACCTACGATCACATAAAATACGAACCTATTCCAGGGTAAAAGGGTTTTACTATATTACAATAAAATATCTTTTTTTTCATTAGGTATTTTTTTTATATTATTTGACAGTATTTTATTATATTATTTAAATGGACCTTCCATTTAAATAAATAATTTGTCGACGTCTAAAATCTTTATGAAAACTATATTATAATATACATTTATTATAAATATGACGGTATAATGCATTGCTTAATTAAGCATGTTGTTAGCTATTGATACTAAACTAAACTAGCTTGTCATTTTCAGAACCCAAGTTTCAGAATCAATACCAATTATTTGTATGTTGCTACTTAGATCTCTAATTTCGTCTTGTATTTTGATATTACCTTAAAAAAAGAAAAAACAGACCTTTTTAATATCTAAAGTGTGCTTTAAAACCTTTTGGAACACATTTTATAGCTACAATACATACCATAGTTCAGACGAGGTTCAGACGTTTGCTCATGAACAGATCTCGGAATAGTCATAAAAACAGAAACACTTAAAAACCGGCCAAGTACGGGTCGGCATCGTAAACAAGAAGTACATTACCAGAATTGGCCTTTGATTTTTTTTTATAGTCGATTAGCAAAACGCAGATAATATCATGGTCCTTGCTCAGCTCCTTTAATTTTTTTATTGTATTTTATTTTATCGTTTGTTTGCTATAGCGGTAAATTGAAAAGCAAATTCAAAGTATCTAGTCTACCTAATGATGGTTCAAATAATAAAGACATTATTAAGACCAAAAAGAATTGTATACGAAACGAACCCTCTTTGATTTTTACTTTATTTTCATTTTTTTTCTAAACAATATTGTGCTTAAAATGCACTATAATAACTGTACACGTTTCGCTATCACCACGGACGCACGGAACTCGAAAAAAGTTTGTATCTGGAGCCAAAACCTAATATCATTTAATGTATTTATAATCTCGACTTTATTAATTTTGGCAACAATTCTGTTAATAAACAGTGCCGCGAGCACGATTTTGACAGTACGTATCAGAAACGTATTAAATTCAAAGTAATTTTACTTTTGATATTTACGGCATGAAATAACGGATATAATATTAATAGAACAGTCATGGCCATCCCAGTTTATACACTTGAATACACATCACATAATGAACATCGATATCGATCTCGCTGTTACGTAACGAAGGAGCTCTTATTAACAAATTGTACACATCAAAGTAATGTTATTCTTAAAGTGTGATTTTTTATGCAAAATTAAGAACCAGCTACCTATACTAAGTAAACAAAGAGGACGTGGTTACGGTTAGGCACTTATCCCACCGCCGACGACGAACGAGAAGCGAGTAGAGCTAGAAACTAGAAACGAGTTGCCGAGCAACGTGAAGCGAGTGTGTAGTACAATAGTTTTATCGCTGGACTATAACCGAGTGTGCGCGTACGACGAACTTTTGGGACAAGAGAGCATCGCTGACCCAGTATCGCTCAGCAAGTATTATCTTTGATAGTTTTTGTCGCTCAGTGACAAAATAGTGGGCAAAATTCTGTGTAGTGTGAACAGTCAGCGATCAAATATTAATATATGCATCTCTTTTGTTTACACGGAATGTTTATATATTGTACATTTCTTGAGCGAGAAAATAGCTGATAGTTAGTCGCGTCATCGCCGGCGCGGTTGGACAACTGCCTACATACATGCAGGGATACATATACATAGCTGTTCCTGGATTGTGTGAAATTAACTTTTTTTTGCCGTGGATACCGTAACAATATTTGTTTAAGATCAAAGACTGAAAACGTTCACTGAGGGAAAAACAGCTAACGACGCTAATGCGTCATTGAAAACACACAGTACAATTGAACCTGTCATTCCGCAAAAGGACAGAAGTCCATTAATTAAATCTTTTCAGGAACAACAATAATATGTTAACTATAAAAAAGTTATTATATTGGTGGTAAAGAAACTGAACATAGGAGTAGTTAAAAGAAATACATAATTTTTATGACTATTATTTATAAAAAAAAGCATTTATCATACAGATATTTTTGATTTAAGTTTCAGGACTAATGCCTTTTTCATTGACACCTCTGATGTTCAAACAAAATCAATGCGCATGCGCTGGGCGAAATAGCCGCCAGCTCTGCGGTCTCCAGTGGTCTCCACCAACCTTTTCGCAATTTCTTTGAAAATATGGTGGGCACCGGAGCCCCAGGGTCCCTGAGTCTCGACTCCAAACGCCGCAAATGTGAGGTCTCCACTGAGGCAATCATACTTGCGGCGCTTAGGGGCCTCTGCGGTCGAAGCAGCCGCGCTAGCCTGCATCGAGGTTCCGGGAATATGAGACAGGTTGCGTCCCACACAAGTGCCCGTCCCAGCTTCCAAGGAACGAGTGTCATGCCGTCGGGCCTCTTACCGTCGTCGCGCGCCAGGCCGTTTGGTTCTAAAACGGCTGGCACGCTGGCGGAGGCAAGGGCCCTGCAGATGACATCGTTCATGCAGTGGTGGCGGGTTATTCGGCCGGCACTCCTTGTGCAGGAGAGACCGTGATGGCCGAGGTTGGTGACAAACGCTCCGCACCGGCAAAGATGGGGGACGACACAGGGCGAGCCAAGGCGCAAGGACGTGGCTATGCGAAAAGTTGAGCGGTCCAGGAGCGTACTGATATTCGCGGAAGACATTCGCGCCTGCAGAGTGGCGCGTCCCAAAGTCGCTGGGAGGCAGGGTGCGTCGGGACGCCGGTGTCAGGGCAGGCTGCACTCCAGGCTGCTACGGCTTCATCTAGAAGCGAGAACAAGGACACGCTCAAAGGACGCCCAAGTATTTTCGCAACGAGTGGTTCGGTAGAGTGTATGGAAGAAATGAAGGCCAGGAGGGAGACGTCCGAAGTGTTGCGTACACCCAAACCACCGAAACCTAACTGGGAGTGATGCTTGGGTCCAGGAACGGAGGTCAAATTTTATATTTAGGATAGAGGAGAGAGTATGTCTTATGACACCGTCCAACTTTGTTAAGAGAGAGGGAAATTTCCAAAGTGGACAGCATAGCAAGACATACGTAAATTTAGGGACGAAAAGACAGTACCAGATTATGACATAGGTCATTTGGCAGTTAATTTTGAGTAAAGGTTCAAAAACTCTTCATATTTTTTAAAATTTTGATCTACAAAATCTGGGAGTGATTCATCAAAAATCGGGGACCCTAGAAGACAAAGTGATTTCTTATCTAACAGTCTTATGCATGGAGCTATTAGTTGGAATTCAGAAATGATTGCCTCCCTGTTATTGAGGCTTTCTGGAACAAAAATCTCGCATTTTGCAAAATTTAGTTCCAGGCCTATTTTGCTGAACTCGTTGCTAAGCATAAAAAAATCAGAGAGGACAGTGGTCAGGTCGCCTCCTACGGTGCCATCATCAAGATACCACATATTTAATTTAGAATTTAGATGGTCGATGATTGGGTGTATAGCCACACTAAAAATGGGTGGGCCGAGAGGGTCACCCTGCTGGCATCCGACTGAGGAGGACAGGAGGTGGTCTTTATATAAAAGTTTTGATGCTGCTGTAGCACTGCTACATAAAGTTATATAGAGCTAGAGCCCTCAGTCTGATTTGCGACCCCTATCAACGGCATTGAAAGCGTTTTTGACGTCGACTTTTTTAAATCTATTTTTTTAAATCAGACATTTTCTTTTCATTTAGTATACATACTCTGTAATAGTTGGAAATCATGACTGACTAAACAATCTATGGATTCACGTGTTGTCACAAGACTCGGTGTGGTCTTGGAAAATGTGAAATATGATACTTTGAAAATAGCAAAAGTCACATAGGAAGCCACAGATACCACTCGTGTATAATGGTTTGGCCACCATTTTTAATGTCTTAATATTTTCAGTTTTTCATTGCTTATTTTTTTTATTATAAAGGGGCACAAGTTCAGTGCTCGCGTCATTTTCAAACAGACTTCAATTTTCGTTTGCCTTTTAAGTTGACTTGTGATGTATGAAGATGCGCTCTATTCACAGGGAATATGTAAAACGCTTCAATAAATAAAATGCTGCCAAATAGTGATATTTAAAAAAGGTGTGATTCCTGCCTTTTTCGAATTGACGGGTTCAATTAGTATTAGGTCCACTAGCAGTAATTTTGTTAAATTTAGATTAAACTAAAACTAAATTCAACTCATAGAATAATATCAAACTTCAATGTAAATTTGCCATTATTGTATGGGTTAAATTTAGTTTTGGATTTTAACAAAATTGCTTGGAAAAATCACCGGCATCGTCAGTGACCTATATTTTGATTTGAGATTTACTATTTTGCAAAACGTAAGTGACCCCGAGCCAGATTTAAAAAACTTTCCTGCCCCCTCTAAAAAAAATCTCTAGCCTATGGTAGTAATTGCAGAAGAATCTCATATTTTTTGTTTGGACGTGAACATTGGTTTTATTGAACGCATCAACAATTTACGAAATAATTGCCAGAATTCACTTCACGCAATTAGTGCAAGGTAAAAAGAATAAGGCACGGGACACAGAAAATACGTAATTAGCAATTTTGTTACGGAATTTTTGATTCGGTCGCCGCGCTGAAAGCCCGCGATAAAATCTATGCAATAGCTTAAAAATTCCATGCGGTCTAGGCAGCGGGCGAGACTCGGACCCGCACCCTTCGCAATCCGGGCGAATGCACTGACCATTATGCTACCGCGGCCCTGATGGCTATGTCGAATTTTCTCTAGCCCTTCTTAGGCTGCAAGGCAGCGCCATCTCTTCGCATTGTAGGTAACCCACAATGTCAAATGAATACCTATACAAGTATCAAACATTTGCAAGAAGAAATAGCAATTATAGTTATGCTTTTTTAAGCATTTAACTGCTAGATGTTTTAATGTACGGAATATTTTACAAGAAAAACTTCCACGCAGACCAGATATCTATTTTTTTAAGTGCTTCGTATTCATATGCATGCTGTTATACCACGGGTAGTTCCCTGAATATTGTCCGAGAGAGCCACCGGGCAAAGTAAAAGAAAACTACAGGTGTGAAAATAAAAGAAAGTGTAGGTTGAACGGTCTATATTGTTAAAATCTACACCTTACAACAAAAAAAAAACATTAACTAGCTCCCGATAGGAGTCGCTGATATAGATTCAATGGTTGGTGTGTGTTGGGCCGCAAAAAGTAAAGATAAACACCGTACCTCGAAATCTGTATTACGATTGGACGTTGTTGCCATTGGTTCGCGGTCACCAAGTGCCCTCCGCGCCATCTTCTTTCGACACATTCTGTGCGAAAACTGCAAAGTCTTTGTTTGTATTCTCAACACCTATGAAATTGAAAACATGAATCAATAATTTAAAATTTCGAAAAGAAGTTGCGGCTGTTGCAATATTCAGCCAATGCTATTAAAGGGACGGTATTTAATCCTGCAACTTCTTAAAACCATTACGCCTTCGCGCCAAATTTTAAACTTGTGAGTTGTCAGAACGCTATGATACAGTTACTACGCAATTTTTAAATATTTTGCTCCGGTTAGTATTCCGATTGTAGAATACAAATTCGATGAATACAATGCTTGTTGCTGTGGTCATTCACTCAATGTTTCAGGTTATTTATTATCTCATCAAAATAAAACAAACGTATTATCCCACTTTGTACATGGATTGTTTTATGTGTAATTCATTGTGGCTTTTTCTGAAATGTTCAAAACTGAAATTGTAAACTGTGCAGTTGTTTTCGAACTCCTGTGGTTAAATCTGGATAAAAGTCTATGTTAAGTGACAACGTTATTTTCCCTTTTCTATCAAGCGAACTTCCTTTGTTGAAATTTATAGCGATGACATTCACTAGACTACTGATAATATGAATCTTGGAATTAATATGAGTGATCTGTGACCAGTGGCCAAACGTAAGCGTAGGCCTCGGATACCCCTAACCCTTTATCGGTATCGGCCGAACTATGCTTGGGCGCACGGCCGCGGCCGGATTTATAAGTGTGGAGGCCCTGGGGCAACGAAGATGTAGTTTTTTAATTTGCACACCCTCCCCCCCTCTGGTTGATGACCCGTCGAAATTTAATTATTTTTTATCT